AGCTTAAAACAATATTGGGTATTGAGGTAAAACATACCATTCCGAACTCAGCAAGCATCATTCGAGTGACTTGTGTTTCAAGTCGATTGCGCTGACCAAGTCTCGAACTTAGAAGATTGCACCAAGTAAGTACAGTAAATACGGTTAGAACACAAAGAGGTACAACATTACTTATGATAATACCGAAATACATGACAAACTGTTTATATACAAAAGGTCCACTAGTCGTGCATGATGGTGCTGAATAGAAAATTGCTTCTGGAATGAAGGTAACTAAATTAATTAAAATAACTACGGCTACTGTGAGACGAGCTCGCTGTACGGTGATTAAACGACGATAGCCCACATTGCGTGAGGAGATGAGAAAACGATCGATGCTCGCCAAACAGATGCATGTCATAATAATGCTTGCACTCATGCGTCCGAGCACCCAGCGACATTTGCAATAGAATTCTGAAACAATTAATAAATCAATACCAGTAAGACTGAGTATGGAACGCGAAAAACGAGCCGTCCACAATTGTACCAGACTCGCGACAAAGTAAGTGATCAGAAAAGTTGAGTTTGGCATTCGTCGAAGTGTTTTAAGACGAATAAACATGAAGATATTCAATAAATTACCAATTGTGCCAAAAGCAATTAGAATTAGTCCTCCATATGAATAGATCATTTGAGAAGCCAATTGAAGAGCAAGAATTTCACTATTGACTGTAGTGGTTGACATGATCGCTGTTCGAGTGATACTAAAACAGCGGAACTTTATACACAATGACTTAAGTGTTTTTTAAGAAAAACAAGAGTAATTATCGAATGTTGTTGGTTGTCTTTAGTAAGAAAAGAAAAATGCATCATTTCATTTTTATATCAACGAACATACTTTGCAGGCCCAATAATTAAAAAAAGGATTTCATGGTTATACTTTATATAAAAAAAATAATGCGCTCATATTATACCGTAAAGCAGGTTGACAATAGTATAATATGTCATAGATAATGCGACAGCTTTCTTTTTAATGTTGGAAAATATTATGAGATTTTGTTAACTTTTTTACCAGTTCAAGCGATTGAAGCATTGCCTATAGCCATAAAAATTGACCGAACACATATAACTAGTCATCCCTGCATTCATTAAAGTAGAAAGCTAGAATTCTTGAAAATAGCTTGTGTCACAAATAGTCTATACTCTCCAAGATTCAATTTAGAAGAACACATGAATCACTCGTCTTTCTTGTATAAGCGATACACAATACGACTTAAAAATGATGAATAACAGAGAAATATTTTCATAAGTGTTGCTTTGAAACATTGAAATTAATTAATTAGCGAATTGAAGATTTTTACTTTCAACTATATGCAATGTTAGAATCTATATCAGACGCAACTATGTATGCATTTTATGCAGAAAATTTCAATCGGATTTTATCCATTTGTTACTCAAATATTTCATATACATAGTAGTGCAACCGTTCACGTGTTGACACTATCTCAATCGGTCCCATTTTCATCCACGAGAGTTATTGCCAGTTAAGAAAATGTCTGCAACTAGAAAGACTTTTTGAAACTATTTTCCATTAAAACAGAAGATTGTTTTTTGACAAGAGGGGAAATGAAAAGAAAACAACGTGAAAATTATTTTGCATTTTGACTAGCATTACTAGTGTAGAGCACGGGCAGAGGAAAAGATAGAAGAAAAAGTTTAGTGAGTCTCGTATCTCTTCTTTAGATTACTAGTGTCAAATATGATTATCCGTACGAACATAACATTGAAGAAGTAACAGTATTCTTATTAATTAAAAGCTACTAGATTGGACAAAATTCTGTTTTAATCATAAACATAATCCAACTCACCTCATTCGAGCTAATAAGAAGATTAGGTGACTTTTACGGATTTCTGAGATATATAATTAAACCCATGTATAAGAAATATAGGAGATACACAATATTTTAGGACATGGTTGTCAAGTTATTTCAAATAAAGTTGTTTTGTTGCTCGTTCATTATTCTATTATCAATAATCGAACTTTGTACAAACAGCATTTTAATGATTCACGACATAGATATTCGAAATACAGGAAAAAATTTAGCTTGCGGCATCTTAGTCTTATATATTCTATTGATTGAATGTAATAATCAATGCAAATACTGACATTTAACCAGAATATTAAAGAACTATGTGCAGATCGTTGAAATCTGATCCATCAGTGTCTACGGAAACTTTCGCTCCTTTTGAAATGACTACGCTACAGATGACTTTGTTTAAAATTGTTTGGCAATACTGTTTTCCTCCTCCGTCCTTCATCCTTTTATCTCCTCAATCTGTACTTCAAACACTTACGAGTGTCATGAAAATATGTATTGATAAATTGAAACACGAGCTCAATGCGCGTTTACATTCACGCTCAGTATTTAGTTTATTCTGTATGACTTCTTGATGCAATCACGATCAGTCAATAAATCATACGTTTCTTTTCATTGTTTGATTGGTTCTACATGTAAAAGCAGGACAAGAAATCATACTTGTCATCGCGATAGAGAATAATTTGAATTATCTTTGTTGTCTACTGCTGCTTGAGAAAAGTTTCAAATGAATGTATTGCATATGGTTATGTACATAATTGAAATTTTCTTATCCATACTATTCTTTTCTACGAACTTGTGAAGAAGGATTAAGTAGAAATCTTAAAAAAACTGGTTTGATCGTTCGAACGACTTCGTTCATTGCAACTTTCATGTCGTCAAGATACGTTCATATTAGCTCTGACGTCGATGAATGATCAAGCAATAAAACTGAAGTTGTTTTTCTAGTGTTCATGTAAGCAGATTTCTGCTCATTGTTGAGCTAAAATGTTTAAGCTTTTGGAAATATGGTTCTCAAATGCTTTTGTTTTAAGTAAAATGTCGCATAGTCTACGATCTGTGACAATCAGTATCGTACTTTTGTTCCCTCAAAACCTTAGGTGTTTCAGAATATTCTAAAGAAATCCTGCAGATATGGTTATTTTTCATAATTATATTGTTGAAGATCACCAAAGTGCATATTGTAATCGGCAACTTTTCAATATCAGTTCAATAGTTATAAATGATTTGTTTCCATATTTTTCCATCTATGCATATGTTCCATGAACGAACAGTTGAATGATATTAAGTGGATAGTTCTTGTAGAAAAGAGTGTGGGTGTCGGAATCTGCTTGGCAGTGCTAAGATGTAGGTGCGGGTAGGTTTTTATACTGGTGGCAGTTGAAATAAGAACAACATGTCCAAACTCAACACACTCATACTCATATCCACAAAAATGCCCTATCCATACTCACATTGCCACATATCTCCCCGTTTCCATTTAAAAAAGCACTGTATATGCTTTTTCTCGCTTCTATATTGGGATTGAGGAGAAATGCATCGTATATAGTTTTCTAGAGCAAGTTGAGCTCTATCGATTGGTATGTAATTCGATTGGAAATATAACGAACTGTTGGAAAATATTTGCAAATATTAAAACTATCTAAGATTGTCGGGTATGAGTATCCTCTTTGCTACAAAAATTGATACCCACACCCTGTCTTACATTGCATTCGATAAAATTTTCTTGTTATTTTTTCACATGATAAAAGCAGACATTATCTTAGTAAGATACCTATTCAATATTTTCTAAACACAGACACGGCAAAAATTATTCGTACGATTTTGTTCTAATCATATCTAAAGAACAAAATGATATTTTCAGGAATGGAAAATGTCAAAATAATTATCATGATTCATATTATCTTTTCTCAAATATCAAAGCAGTTGACTTATAAATCTTGGAGATACAGTCTCATTACTGGCAATGGTGACATTTTGTTTGGCAAAAAAATACTCATACGATAAATAAAACTATTTTTATTTACTTCTAAATTTTCGGTTGAACTTGATAATAACATCATGGATAGAGAAAAATGCAAGTGACATGCCAGTAAAACTATTGTTTGAAAAAAGGCCCAAAGAATCATTATTACAAACATTTTGGAATTCCGTTCACACAGCCACAATCAACATGTCAAGACGTGCATCGTCGGATTTTTCAAAATGCTTGCCACAACTTTTTAAATAAATCTAAATCGTACATATGTATCCAGCTCGGATTTTTATCATTGAGTAGAGCAACCTGAAGCACGTTCATTTATATCAAAATCACTAGATACGATGAAATTTTCTGTTACTTTCGAACATAAGTGCAATAAAGCTAGTATTGCATGTCGTGAAATGTTGACTATGGCTGTGCGAACTAAATTCAAAACTGTGCGTAATAAGAATTCTTTGGATTTTTTTCAAAGAATAGTTTTACTGGCATGTCCCTTGCATTTGCCTCTATCCATGATGTTATTATTAAGTTCAACCGAAAATTCAAAAGTAAATAAAATAGATTTTATTTATCATATGAGTATTTTTTGCCAATAAAAAATGTCACTATTGCCAGTAATGAGGCTGTATTTCCAACATTCGTAAGGCAATTGCTTTGGTATTTACAGAAAAGATAATGTGCATGATGATTGTTTTGACACTTTCCATTTCTGAAAATATCGTTTTGTTCTTAAGATATGATTAAAACAAAATCATACGAATAGTTTTCGCTGTATCTATATGTCCTTTTATTTCGAAAAAACTATACTGTTTTAGAAACAAATGCCAAAATGATAGAGAAAATTAAAAGAATAGTAGTTGATAATGTTTTTACAAATTCTCATTCCGAATAAAAGCTATAGAACTCAAGCTTTGTAATTACTCAGTACTAAATCGATGCAATTAGCTATCAAACTTTCAAAGAGTTTGGTATATTGAATGCAAGAGCAAAAACTTTTGAAATCATTTCCGTACTTCTGTGACACTCTTTAGATTGTAATCCACAACGATGCTCATTCTCTATTCAAATGACGTGAACTAAAATTTTTATTTGTTTTTTGGCACTATATAGATAAATGATAGAAGCAAGCGAAATATTCATATTTAATCGACGACAAATAATGCTTAAAATTGCTGACGAATGTTCTCCAATAACGATTGAAGTTGTTTAGCATCTTTGCCGAGTAAATCGAGAAGGCGTTTGCGAGCTTTTTGCACTACACCATGCCACATTGTCGACATTGTGGCGAAACGCGTTTCAAGTGCGACAACGACAATTGCTGAAATGAGAACTTGCTGATTGTTGAATGATGGAAAACTTGTCAGTGGCTTTCCAGTCAATTGTTCTACACTTTTTGCATCTAAATCCCATAAACCATCAAATTTTTGCTTGTTGATCAAGTAGCGAACAATATTTTGATCTCCAGTAGGCCATGCCTCATCTTTTTCTTGGCCAATCAAAGACTGCTGATGTGAATAGATTGTATCATAGTTAGCATTGTCAGTGAACGACATTAAATCGTTAGACTCTGTCATGGCGGTCGGCGACATGTCTTCATTCTCCATATCATATAAACAAGATTCTGATTGAAGCATTGCTGATGAATCGTAAAAACACATGTCCATGGTTTGGTCAAATAGCTGCATTGAAGCCATCGGCATTGGTGGTGCCATTGAACGATATGCCATCGCAGGACGTGGCATCATACCGGCAGAAAAATTCATAAAGTGGGGTACCTGTAAGTGTTCATCATCAGCCGATATTTGAATTGGTACTTCGCGTAAAACCATATCATTATTACTAGCATTCACTCGTTTTTCAACACCAACGAAAGCAGTGTGAGGACTTAAAATTTGATACTTCAGTGAAAGGTCAATGATGCGTTTCTTTATGATTTCCTTCTCTTCGCTTGTTGTAGCTGGCGTCGGCGATGGATGATCTTTCTGGAATCGATTTTGTAGCGAACCCGAAATGTTTTGCTTGACCGATGAGGCTAGTTTCGAATGTTGTAATTCGAGAATGAGTGCTTTGGCAGCGAGTCGAGCAATGGTTCCATTAGCACTAACATTCGGTATTGTATCGATATTTGCCCTGCCCAATTGGCTTTTATCATTAAGTAATTCGATACTGGAATTATGATCGAAGACAAACATTGGATCACTAGCAAGTGCATAGACAATTAGACGATCATTAACATAGACTGGTGGCATTTTTGTAGGAGCACTCATAACGTCAGTACCCAGATTCCATTTCACTTCTATATTCGTTATGCAAGATTGGAGAGCTTTTTGTAGTTGTTCACCAACGTGAACGTCGACACTACTGTTAGGTGGAATAAAAACAAAACGACCGTTTGTTGCTCTAGCAAGGCCTTTGACCAGCGAACGACTTGGTGAATGACCCAAACCAAATGAAAAGATTCGTGTGGAAGTAGCCATTGAACGGCACAGATCGAGTACTTCATTGACGTTTGAAATTTCTCCGTCAGTCAACAAAAATATTTGTCGCGCACGACCTTGTCCTGGAGGGTGTTGTTCTAACCATTGAAGTGGACCTAACTAGAATAGAAACATACGGTTAGTTTTCAACGATACAATCGCTGAAACTTACTAATTCAGTACCACCCAAATCAGCTCGTAACTGATTGATTAGTTGTTCAGCTTTTTTAGCATTCTGTTCATTGTAAATAGCAGTGATCTCTTTGAATAATGCTTCATGATTGGATCCGAATCGTATGATATTGAAATGACAATCCACTGGTAGACTCTTGAGAAAGAGTAACATGGCTTCTCGTGCCAATCCGATCTTATTCTCATCTTCCATCGATCCACTACAGTCAACAACAAATATAAATTCATTGTTCGTCTCTACATTGTTCATTACACGTTGGCAATCTGCTTCGGTTGGTATAAATGAAGCCATAATGGCACCAGGTTCTACTGCAGCAATGGTATTCGAACGATTGCCAACTAACTCTATATCTACTAAGATATCTCGATCGAGATGAGTGTTTTGTTGAGAGAATTCGACGACATAGACATTCTCTTGACCAACTCCAACCTGAATCGGATGAGACGTCGAGCTGATTCGAGAGACGTTGTTTTTCTCTACTTGACAGTGAAATTCAATTGTGTATGGAACTGTTTGAACGTATTTTGACGTAGTACCAGCCGGTGAACTAATACCACCTTTGTCTGGATTGTAGCGAGGTGCGATAGTTGTTGGAATAACAAAGCGAATTTGGCTTCCATTGTGAACCAAATCCAGTTCGGAGACGTACGATATATCAATGTGACATTCTTTACCGGGTGGTAGTGCACCAACATTGATAATAAAATTATCTTGCGATTTTTCATCTTGTTCGAGTAGATATGCACCATGACCTTGTTGAAGAGCATCACTGTATTCCTGTTGTGCTTTCTTTTTTTCTTTCAGCTGTGCAGCAATTTCTCGATCATCAATTCGAGCAACAAATGAGTAAATTGCTGCTTGTTCCTCTATTGGGAAACAGTAGACGGCTTCAATTGGGTTTGTCTCATCGTTGCGAAAAATTTGTTTCAGAGTTACATCGGCAGCAAACGATTTAATGTAGGCTTTGACACATACTTTTTTCAACGGTACGTATTGTTGCTCTGACTGTTGAGCAGAAAAAGAAGACTCTTGCTTGATTCGGAGCATTGTATATCATAAAATGGTTGTTATTCTTGTTGTTACTCGCTTAAATACCCACTACGTGCCGTCTAAAGGTTATGAGTCAATATGAAGAAAAGAACGAAGAATACGACTGTATGATTCATAGCAAAGAGAACAGAATTGAGCGACAATCCAAAGAGCATCTACGTAGCAAGTAGTGCGACGATGAATCAGTTCACGAAAAAAAAAAAAATATGATCTAGTCTTGTTTGGGTACAAGCACCATTAAGGCATATACGATTTCATAGTGTTGTGAAAGTATACGAGCGGCCGAATGGGATTGGAAATACGGTACGGCCAATTCAAAATTTAAGCATTTTTGTTTTCTATGATTTATAGGTCGCTAGATAGAGCTCACAAAAATGTATAACAAAATTTACGTTTTCAGATTTTTCGTCTATCTATTCATAAAAAATCAAAACACTTACAAAAGTTCATTGAATACAAAAATGGCTTAATTTTGACAAACAATGATGAAATTTTGTTTATTTTTTTCAAAGAATTAATTAATATGAAAAATCGCACATAAGTATGTGGATATGAATCTTTTCTTCATTCACGCCCACACCCTAATCTATTGTCTGCTCATATATTCCACCTATATTTCTTAGATTCAGAACTAAATATTCATTATTTTCTGATAAGACTTCGCAAAATAGATCAAATGCTTTGAAGAAACATTGAGAAGCTCTTTTATAGTCACTTTTAGATATAAACATACTATCCATATCTTTAAAATGGAACTTTCATAAAAACGATCGTTTTTTAAACGCTGTTAGAGCTGTTGAAAAGTATTCAATAGATTCTCTTTGGATGCATTGGCGTCTGTATGAACGTTTAAGTGTAAACAACAAAAATTTACACCTCTTAAATATATAAAAATATGTATCTTATTGATGAATTGTGATCAATTTTTAACGAATCCTGTCTATTTGGTATTGTGTTTTCGACATGTTTTTGAAAATTTCTAATAGAAATTGAAAAATCCAATAAATAAACATATTTGTTCAAATCTCTTAACCGAAAATATTCTCTATTATTCGTTTACGTGGAAAGACTTGTCCTCTAAATAAAAACCTAAGGTGACAGAAAACTTGAAAATCTTCAAACTTAATATTAAACATGAAAACAGAATTTTACCAATGGTTTAATCATAACCGCAAAAACTTCAATTATTTTCTACAATTCATTTTATCTCGAAATAGCTGTTAACAAATTTTAATGTGTATGACATGTATGAAGATATTTCATCAATGAATAAAATATTCCGATTGCACATTGTCAAGCATCAATGTTCACTGACTCATATTATCTATTAGAATCGAATTTTTTTCCCTAGTCAAAAGTTTGAAGGTGATCTTGTATGATAATCTAGTTTCTTATATATTGTAGTTATGATTTGATTCGCTGGCAAGAATAGATGTGTACAAGATTCAATAAATTGAAGTCTTTAAGCTGTCAGAGAACTTTAATATGAGCTATGATAGTTATCGACGGATGAAAAGTTGGCTTTTATACTTTTACAGTTTCTTGTTATTAGATAATCTGTGTGATGAGTTTATTACACTACTTTTCTTATTCAGATGTGTCTCTATCATCAGCACCTTGTGAATCTTAATATAGATACATCTAATCTCATTTATTGTAATATATTGATTTCAGAAAAAAATTCTATAAGATATGTAAGATATGGTTTTGTCAGGTAACGTCATCCTAAAAGTTGACTGTATAGTTCAGAAATGCAAGACATTTTTTCAATTACCTTCAAAAAAGATTTTTATGGATGTCATCGTACTCATCTCATATTGATCTGCCAGTTTAATAAAAATTTACATCCTTTCATTTCTAGATTGTATTATAATTTTACAACAGAAGAAAGCAAAATAGTTGTCTATCATAAATGTTCATACGTACACATTTATCGGCTCACGAAACAAACTCGATTGTTCATTACTAGAAAAACATATAGAAAAAATAAAATCAGACACACCAAAGAAGTGACAAGAAAAAAACAATGACAAATGAGGGACTAATCTGTGCGATGATTTATATTGCTATCTTGCACTCACTTAGATAGGGTGACCTTCTATTCTGTGGACGCTTTAGATATACTTGATAACAGCTATAATAAAATTAATGATCAACAATTTCACAATAGGATATCCCATTGGAATTGCTTTCGATAGGCAAATTCGTTCAATATTTGAATAACAAGGTTAGACAAATGGTTCTACAAAGAAATTTTTTCAATCACTAATATTCATATTTGAAATAATCATATTAATTTTTAGTTTTGACATTATTTTATTAGTCGTTTTAAATATTTCTATCGAATCGATGTTTACTCTACGTATACGATCCTTCGAATTAAATTCTTATTATGAAAAATGATTTCAATATTTAGTTCAGTTCAAAAGAACATTATTCATAATGTATGAATATAAGTGGAAAAATTATTGTACTAATACGTGACTATTAAAATAAAATATAGATGGCACTAATTGATAATTTATTATTCTCATGATGATCTATCAATGGTTTCTAGTTAACCACTTAAATTATTTGAATATCTATTTCTAATAAATATTGGATATACTTGGATGTTCCAATGTCGGCCTCCTTTTCTTTTTCTTATAGGCTCGTTGTTTATTTATTTACTTGTTCTTTCATTTTAGTATTTCATCTTTTCTTTTTTTCTTTAAATTCCTATTTATTTGTTCCTAATTAAAATTTAAAGATATCAAACGGTATATAATTATATTAAATGAAAATTAAATTTCCATCATTTATTTCCTTTTTATAGCTTAGAAAATTATGCCTCCACCAAATCAATCTCCCAGTCAACAATTACCTTCAAGAGAAAATGGTTTATTCAAAAAATTGGTGGTATGTTAAAAAAAAAAGAAACTTTACTATGAAATTACTACAATATCTATATTATATCTATAGCGTTTCTATGAACAAAAACAATATAAAAAAGGTTTAACAGCTGCTCGAGAAATTTTAAAAAAATTTCCAAATCATGGTGGTATGTATCATTGATCTTTTTTGTTTTTTTTAAAGAGAATTTAAATTTAACATTGGTTATTCTCTAGAAACATTGGCTATGAAAGGTTTAATTCTTAATTCAATGGGTAAAAAAGAAGAAGCTTTAGAAAGTATTCGTAATGGTATTAAAAATAATATGTCAAGTCATGTTGTTTGGCATGTTTACGGTCTATATCAAAGATCTGATCGTAAATATGATGAAGCAATAAAAGCATATAAAAAAGCATTACAATGTGAAAAGGTAGGCGAGGTGAGATAATTATTTTTCTTGTCAACAATGGCTTCAAATATTGTTCATACAGGTTTAATTTCGATTTGTTTCGTAATGTTTTAATTAGAGAAAATTATTTGAAGGAAATAAAATTCCTACAGTATTCCTAAAAATTAAGACTTTCTGAATATCTACTATTGAAAAAGAAAGAATGAAAGACAAGCAAAAACATTTTGAAATGTAGGATGACTTAAAAGTCACTTTACCGAAAAAAAAAATGAATATCTCCATTACGACTCAAGCAAAATACCTAATTTTTTTTTTAATCAATGATAGAAGCATATTCAAGTTTTATATCCATAAAGACATACCTAGAGAGACTCTTTGTTAAGCAGCCTTAACCAAAAAAGAATTTAGTTTTTTATAGATAAGAAAAAAAACAATATATTATGAAGAAGAATCAGTTTATCAAGATAAAATGCAAATAATCAAACGAATATTTGACTGTCAAGCGTTCTTCAATCATAGATATTTTTCTCTATTATAGTCAACATGGATAGTCTACATGATGTTGCTGTTCATATTTGTGTAACATCTGTCTAACTTTGTTTTGTGTTTTCTCGATCTACCTTGTTCATGTTTGTTCCTCTGTTTTTTTTTAGTTATACATTCAGCATGTAACCCTGATTGAGGCCTTATGTATTTGCACATAAAGAGAAACAGATATGAATAGAGTAGATCGAGAAAATACAAAATAACGGTAGACAGATGTTACATAAGTATGATCAGCAGCATCGTGTAACTGTTAGATATGTTCGTTTAATTATTTGCATTTTATCTTAATTAAACTGGTTCTTCGTCATAGTACATTATTTTTTTTCCTATCTCTGAACAAATAAAAAATTTTTTTGTTAGGGCTATTAATGATGCTTGATAAAGAGTCTCTCTAGGCATATCCTTCTGGATATAAAGTTTGAGCATGTGCCTCTGTCATTGATTAAAAAAATTAGGTGTTTTTCGGTAAAGTGACTTTTGGGTTACCCTGTGTTAGTCTATTAACCTTCAATAATGTTCTTTGTGTATAATTATAACCTTTTTTTTATGCAACAATAAAAGAAAAACTGTTGAAAAGATCATATGATGTAATGCCGTAGTTATTATATCGATTATATAATATGTTTATTCGACTCTATAATATTGTCATACGTTTGTTTTCCTTCTACTTTCATAAAATTGATCAAATCTCATATATTTGAGTAATATAGATAAATACAAGACATTCTTTGGATTGTTTATGCTAATTAACATTACGAAGAATAATCGAAATTACTTAGAATGAAGTATAGAATTGTTTACGAGTATGCTTATTCGAGTTGAATTAACCTGTATTTATCTATATATGTAGTGTTTGTATAACTAATTATATTGTTTGTTAAATTTCATAGGATAGTTTAACAATTCTTCGTGATTTATCATTATTACAAATTCAAATGCGTGATCTTGATGGTTATAAAGTAAGAGTTAAAAATTATTAACAATATGATATTAATTAATAAATTATTTGAAGGAAACACGACATCAATTATTTAATTTAAAACCTGGTCAACGTCAATCATGGATTGGTTTTGCTATGTCTTATCATTTATTAGGTGATTATGATATGGCACAAAGTGTATTAGAAGAATTTCGTAAAACACAACAAGATCGTCCAGCACCATCACCAGAT